TGCCATTGTCTAGACAGAAGGAGTTCGTTTTCTCTCTTGAACTCCATTGGTAATTTTTCTTTAGGCTCGCGGCACTGATTGGTCAACTATACCGGTCTAGTGCCTGCGTTTTTCAGATTGGACTATTTCGATCCACAACTGGGTATATATTTTCCATCGTGTTCTTTCGGAACCTTATTCTGACGTTTTATGCTCTGAGAAGCGTCAGACGAAAAAGCTTTTAGTATGTCGTCAAAGTTTGCTTTTTTCAAACCCATTTTCAAATTCTCTACCGCAAAAAGATTGTTCACATTTTTCAAGCAGAGAATATTTAAGAAATCAACTTTCAAATAAAATCATTTTTTTGTTTTAAATCACCAACTGCGTCATCAAACTTCACTCTGCAAAACTGCATTATTCGCCATTTTTCGCCCACAGCCTGTTGTTCTGTTTGCTTCTGTTCGCCCCTGTTCGCTTCACTTCGCTTCTCTTAAAAAAGCATTTCAGAGTATTTCTTGCAGTCATCTCTTGCAATCATTTTAAATATTTGCTTATGGACTAGGGCAGTTGTTTCATGATTGGATGTTAATTACCAACAAGGAAACACCACTCAATAAATAAAAAACAATTTGAAAAAAGATGCTGGATAGGTGGATATGACATGACACTGTTATTCCCACCTCAGGTTGCAATGTCTGCTCACGAAAGGCAATATTCGCCGACATAGGGCGAAGGTAAATTTATTGCTAGATCAGAGATATCGGGGTATTCGACAAGGAATCAGCTTGATATTGACATCCCAAGGCAAAATTTGGAATTCTCAAAGGGAAGTTTCTTTCACTCTGGGGCCAAAACATGGAATGAGATTCCAAGAAACATCAGAATGAGCCCCACAATGTCCACGTTTAAAAGAAACTTGAAGGGATTCCTGCAAAGTTAATAAATTTCCAAGACAAAACATCTTTATTTTATATATATATTAAAGCAGTAATTGTAATAGAAGTAGTTTATTTATACTTGTATTATAGCTGATAGGGAATTCATGTATAAAGATTTTTGAAATGAAAAAAATGGAAACATATCACAGGATTTTCTGACATACCACAGGATTTTCCAACATATTGCATGATTTTTCGACGGTATACCAGATTTGCCAACGGTAAACCAAGTTTGCCGATTGTAGACCAGATTTGCCGAAAATATTTTTTCCAGGGGGGTGTGCCGCCCCCTATGCCTCCCATCTCTACGGGCCTGCATACAGTCATCACCATCATGGTGGGGGGGGGGAGATGCCAAGCTGCTTATATTTATCTGATTTAATGCATTGTATGAGCGTGTTGAAGCAAAGGTTGAGAAGAAGGGAGCTGAAGTCACCTTGCAATAGATAACCCAAAGATAAAAACAATGATAATAATGATAATAATAATACATTCTTTATACCGGGTGATTCAGCCAGCTCTCAGTACACAATTATTAGCCTGTGTCCCAGACCCCTTACTTGAAAGTTAGGGGTCTGGAGCACAGGCTAACGATTATCTGCTATCAAAAAAAGCCCTGTTTTAAAGCAAATAGAAAAATGGTCTGCTACTTAAATAGTTTCTATAATTAAAAAAATGTTTGAAATGTTGTTTAAGAAATAAATCCATTTAATGTTTTCTGAGTGCTTGCTTGAATGGGAGGTAAAGTTGAACTGTCTTAAAGTGCGTTTGCAGTGCGTTATAGATGTTAAATCTACAATAAAAGAATTCTTTTTTGGCGATCTCGAATTTCCTTCTGTTTGTTTCCGACATGAACAAGAACGCTGTACTACAGTGTGTCATGACTTGTTGTACTATTGCTTTATACAGACCGAGGGCAGCATGGATGGTAAGTATGGGTCGAATACGTCTCAACGCGCCTAGTCTACTTTACTTGACGCTTTTATGCAGACTTTGTGAAGATGGTTGCTCATTGATAGTGATTGATCTAGATGAAAACCACGGAATTTATCATTAGCTATCAGTATTTTTCATGGTCTTAGAATTGATTTGTATGATCATTTCGCTCTCAGTTCTCTTCCTCCTTACTACGGTGCCAAACATCATGAATTTGGTTTGAATTTAAGATTAGATTAGACTAAGATTGCAGAGCACAGTATGTAAAAGATTGGGATCATGGTTTATTATGGCGCGCATATACCGCCAAAAATAGCTTTACCAAAATTTCAGCAGCTTTCTAAAAGTTTAGTGATCTTCTAAAAGTTCAGTTGCTCTGTCTAGTCTTAAAATTTTAGTCATTTCCAAAGTTTCAACCACCGTTCATCATTTTCTAAAATTTCAATGACTTAAGCAACGTTTCTAAAATTCCAATCGCTTGCTCTGCAAGATTTATAAAATTTCAGTCATGCTAGGTTAGTTCTAATATTGCAACCATTTCTAAAGTTTGAACCCCCGCTTAACATTTTCTAAAATTTCAATCACTCTAAAGTTTCAGTGGCTTTTCCTAAATTTCAATGGTGAATGTTGATAACCTCTTCCTGAACTTTGCCAAGCAGCCTCCTTTTCCACCATTTCCCCGAGAAAGTAAGTGCAGGTGGCAGCATGGCTGGCATTATTGCTTCAAAAAATCCATGACCCCGGATATGCAAAAAAACTAAAAAAATGAAAAATTTCTAGAAATTTTTTTTGGGTCGAAACAACCTAAAAAGCTTTAAAAATCATCCGCAATACCATTTGTGGAGTTTCCAATGAATTTCAGCATGTGACTTTCCGAAAACATGTGACTTTCCGTTCCATCTTAGCATGTGAACTTCCGAAAACAAGAGCTATGTTTTGTCAGCATACATTATTGTTTTGCGATTTTCAATATAGAGGTGGACATCGTCAATATGGATGTTCAATTTGTATATTGTTGATTTCTCCCGTCCTTGTCTTGTGCTGTCCACCATTTTCATCCTAAATCAGTCGACAATAGAATTGCTAACGAAGAAATTCAATCTTATTTGAAGTCAGAAGTTTGAAAAGCAGAAGGGAATTGCGGAAGCATTTAATAACCACTTCACAACGATAGGCCCTAAACTTACGGAAAAAATCGTAACTAAAGAATCAGATAACCAACTAAAATACTTCGCTGAAGAAGATGCAATCACAACCCCAAATTTTGAATTTCAAGCAATTACTTCAGACCTTATAGAAATTGAAATCAAAAGATTGAAATACAATAAATCTGCGGGTTTTGATAAGATCTCAGTACAGTTTGTGAAAGACGCAGCAGAAATTTGATGCAAGCCACTAGCTGCTATATTCAACTCTTTATTCAAAATGGGTATTTTTCCAGACACATGGAAAATAACAAGGGTAACCTCTATTTTCAAGTCTGGTTCTAAAATGAAATGGGTAATTATAAGCCTATATCCTTGCTATCTGTATTCTCGAGGTTACTAGAAAGATTTGAGCACGACCAAGTCTCGACTTACATCAAAGAGCAAAAGAAATTTGCTGAAAGTCAACATGCATTCTTAAAGATGCATAGCACCCTGACCTCGCTATTAAACATAACAGATTCATGGTTTTCTAATATTGACAAGCATAGAATTGATATAAGCGTATTTCTCGACCTTAAAAAAGCGTTTGATACGGTGAACCACTGGATTCTTCTATCGAAACTAACCAAATACGGAGTGGAAGGGACATCTCTTCGGTGGTTCACATCGTATTTAACTGTCAGAAGACAATACTGTCAAATAAATGGCCATAGATCAAGCTTAAAAACTGTCCACTTCTGTATCCCCAGGGATCGTGCTTGGGGCCGCTCCTCTTCATCCTCTATGTCAATGATGCACCTCAAACATGTATTCGGACGATACCAGTGTCACCTGTTCTGCCGAGGATATCTACGGTCTCTGTAATGATCTAAAAGCTGAGATCGACAATATTGCAGAATGGTTACGTCAGAAAAAGCTTAGTTTGAATACTGAACAAACAGAATATATGGTTATTAGCCATAAACGACAAACCAACCGTATCCTTGGCCCACTAGAAGTAAATGTAAATGAAGAGCCAATCAAACGAGCTCAAAAGGCAAAGTACCTAGAAATTATGGTCGACGAAAACCTGACATGGAATGAGCAATATAAAAACCTTAAAGGTGAAAAAAATGCACTCTCGTCTCTGTGGAAACTAAAGAACATACTCCCGCAATCGCAACTAGATCAGGTCTACAAGGCGCTGCTCGAGAGCCATTTGAGATACTGTGATGAACTATGGGGCAAATTGTCAAACACAAAGCTCGATCATGAGCGCGCACGCTAATAGAAGGCTCAAGATTAAAGGACGGGTGGAGCTGCAATTGGCTTTCGGTCTCAAATTTGATAAAATTTGACAGGGCAGTAATGATCTACAAAATAATAAATGGTCTCTGCTCTGACAATTTGAAAGGAAAGCTTGTCACAAGATCCAAAATATCTAACTATTCAACAAGAAGTTGCCTTCACCTAGATATCCCAAGGCAAAACCTAGAATTATCCAAATAGAGTTTTTTCTATTTTGGTGCACAGACGTGGAACGAGATTCCATTACAGATAAGAATGGGCTCCACGATTACCACGTTCAAAAAGAAATTAAAGGAATTCCTGCAAAATTAGCATCCTTTCCCGAAGCACGATCCCTAAGAAGACCAGCATTATATGTAAATTAATCTTTACTTTTTTTTAACTTAGTAGCTGATAGGGTTTCTGTCTATAAATATGATAAGATGAATGAAATGAAGTCAATCTAACCAGTGCAATCTAACCATCTGGTCTGTGACGCAGGCTAACCAGTGCCGTCGGAACGAATTTCATATTGGGGGGGGGGGGAGCTGCTCATTGTTTTCCTCCTCATTCAGTACACTGTTATAAAGGAAACATACTACAGTTTGACAATTATTGGGGAGGCTCCGGCCTCGTCCGATTTTGACATATTTAGCTGATTATGTAGTCAAAATTAAAAAAATGTTAAACTAGTTTTTTGTGATGTCATACTCGGGAAATCTATTGATTACAGAAATTGAATTGAATTAATGATTGTTTACGATGAAAATGGCGGACAACACAAGCCAAGGATGGGAGGAATCAACTTATTATAAACAAATGGAACTGTGTAAATGATGAATGATAAACAAATGTCGCACCCATAATTACACGAAAAAGGCTTTTAGTTACATTTGCGACATTAATCAACTTTGCTGTCTATGAAGATTGCACGTTCTTTCTTTGGTGACAATAAACCTTTTTCATCGTTTGATCTTGAAATACTTCTAACTGACAACAACCAAGCTTCTGGAGTGGAATTGTGGGAAGAAATGTGCTCCATTGAGGAGGAACGTACTGGTCAAAGAGAGCTGCACAAACTTCAAGTGATGCTGCGAGATATCGAGCAATCTAACGATCTTCAATCGCCAGAGAAATGTAAGCATATTAATGAACCGGTGGGTGAGTTCGAAGATTCCAAAGACAGTAATTCAGATGAAAAACAAACGCACAAATTTTCACTAGAAAAGAATCATTCGCATCTTGAGGAGAGTCTTCTTGAGTATGAATCAGACTTCGAGGACTGGGAAGAAGACATTACTTTAGACGATGAAGATAGCTGGTAAGTATTATATATATTCCGGTTGATAATCAGCATGTCAGTTGTTTATTATCTAAGCAATAACCAGTATGATATTGTTATTTTAAATTTTCTCTCGATGTTCCTTCAATACTGTATCGAAAACCAAGTCACTTCACTGTAATGTCAGTAGCGTAACACAGTTTAGGGCACCTTAGTTCAATAAATATGGGCAGCCAGCCAAAAGGGGCCCCAAAATATGTTTATACCCATGTTTTGAAGCATGCAACTCAGTTCTCCATCCTAGTTAATGAGAAAAAATTATTGATATTGCATCTTGCTATTATGTTAGGCAAGCTCTACACCATTTGATGGGGCCTTTTGGCAGTCCTTAAATATGGATCCCATCTCCCTCTTTTCTCAAGGGCTCCAGGTACCTCTGTTATACCACTGTTCTCAGTCCCTTACTTTTAAGTGATTTTAGTGAGTACTAAAGGTCTATTAAGTTTTCTAAAATACCAAGTGCTAAACAGCTACCATTAAAAAAGAAAAGTAAAACACAAAAATGTGACATAACATGTCGCAACACAGAACATTTTCTCAGCCACAATAAGTTATTCTTTCTATATTATGTGGCAAAAGAGCCAAAAAGAGGTACGTAATAATGTAGAAGATTGCTTTTGTTTCTATTTTTGGTCAATTGACTGCAGGCAGTTTCAAAGTTGTTTGCATCCTCTTAGGCAATATTAATTAGATTAGTTGATTCTCTTTAGAACTGCATACAGGATTGTTGGGCTATGGTTTATATTTTTAAACAATTATATTGATACATACAGATATTTAAAGAGGAACGCCTCAAGAGTGCTTTTCATGAAGGGTCTTATTTTATAAATTTTATAAATGGACCCTATTATTTGAAGCACCATATTTGCTCTAAATAATTCTTTGTAGCTCATTGCTTTGAAAAAGAAAATTATCTGTGGATTCTCTGCTGTCACCATCTTCTTTTCACTATTTGTTCAAAAGCTGACCATATAAAGAATTTCAAGCTTGTTTCTACTAAGCTATTATGGCATCCATATAACATTTCATCTCCTATGCAAATTGTGTTTTTAATTTGTAGCAAAAAATAGGAATGGAACTTTTAATTAATGTAATTTGTAATTTAGTCAGTTTTAGCCTAATTATCTTTTTTGCTTCTTTGGGCTGTAGATATTGCTATAAGTGCTGTTGTTTGTAGCCTAGCGCAAACTAGATAGAGAAGGATGGATTATTTTTTTAATTTCTGCAATCTAATCCAGTCAGGATGTTTTTTACAAGAACATAAAATAAAATAAAAAATTAGGGCTCCAGGCATTTTCATTTGACGCAAAAAAATTTTGCAACCACTTCAGCATTCGAATTTTTCATGAATTAACACATTTTCAGTCATCTTTTGCAACCCAAGCAAGTGACATACCCTGCCATATTGGGGAAGGTGGTGGCTGTCAATTGTATTGCTTTCCATACTTTACATTATTATAAGAAAAATATATTACAGCGTGACAACTATGGGGGTCCAGCCTCCCATCCAATAATTTTTGAGGGGTTCAGACCTCCCCCAGCCCCTGCTTCTGACAGCCCTGATAGACGATACAAAGCTGACATGCCAAAATGCAGGAAACATCAACAAGGAAAAATAGACCACATCTCAGCGGAAAAATGCATTTAAAAAACAATTCCACTGAGAATGTTTAGAAATACTATAGGCATTTTGTATTTTAACTACATGGGTCACACAGCCCTCAGAACAAAGTCTGGACATTTAAAGGGTTATTTAGAAAGGTTTAGTACAACATTTTGCAAGCATCTGACAAAAATGCCTATGTGACTCTCGTGATGCCTATATTTATCTCGTGACTCTCAATTTATAAATGAAGCACATTTATATTGGGGTATTTAATCTTTCTTGGAGTGCATTAAAGGTCATCGTATCTATTATTTTTTATTTGATATTACCTTACATAAAATTGCCTTAAAACAGGGCCAGATGGTTTGATAGACATTACAGATGCTTTAAGCATTGTTGATCCTTATTATCATTTTAATAGAGCTCGTGCAAGAGAAATCATGCGAGTGTCACTCAGGTGGGCTATTTCGTGCATAAAGCTGGAGTGCTGCATCAATATAAGTTGTGGGTGCTGTCAGAAACAACTCATTTTTATAAACTTAGGTATTGATTTCTTATAGAAAGTATTTTTATAGAGAAGGAATGTGTTGCATTCCCCAAAAATGTTTGACCAATGGTTGATTTTACTTTTAATTTACTTTCTTGCTCAAATTTATCTCCATGCAGAAGATAAAGACCAATTGATGTTTGAAACCATAAAAGCTCTATTAAGCCCCCAGGGGCTTTATCCATTTTCGAATTAGATAAAGTAAGTTTTATTTCAGTTATTTGAGGAACCGATGTGGTAGCATAGATGGTCTAGCTATTTGGTAGATTACATGGTTTTCTCACTATTAAGGGTCTGGTAAAAATTTGGGTAAAGCAATAAATTATTTTCAGCAATTTTCCTACCTTTTTGACCTTGTGGGCCATCCGCTGGATTTGTTTGCTTTACCCAAAATTTTACATTTTACATTTTTTGAAAACTTTAAGCTAAAAAGAGTTTTATCCCTTAACTGAATTGCAACTTGTAAACTATTAACAGCTGTATCAATGGGAGAATGGATTGTGGTTAACTGTCTTTTTGTATAATTACATGCCTGGAATCCAAAATGAGACAAAATCTAGTCACGATGAAATTTTTTGGTATTTACAATTTTTGAGGTCACTATTACTTGAAATTTATGCATCCTTTTAATCTATTCAATGTAATCTATGTCTTCTTCCTCATTTACACCAACGTCATAATTCTTAGATTAATTTTGTTCACCATTGTTCTATATAATGAGTTCTAACTCAGTGACGTCATAAGGGGGAGGCAAGAGGGGAGGGGGGGCAGAAGCCCCCTCATCACCTCTTTGCATAAACTGAGTCAATATTCAACTTTGATTTGGTTTTCCTGACATGCTGTTCTGTTCACCTCTTTGCATAAACTGAGTCAATATTCAACTTTGATTTGGTTTTCCTGACATGCTGTTAAAAAGCTACCTAGGGTGTTGAGCCAATTTCCGAACAGATACTCAAGCTCTCAAGTTTCCACAAAGTCAGTACATGTAATTGAATATAAAGCTACCTGTATGGTTTTGCCTTAAGATTTTGGTAATATGTTGCTATCTCTGTTTGAAAAAAAACCTACCACAAAGTTTATAACCAAGAAATTTTGAAAGCTGTCAGAAATTTATTTCGACAAAGTTTATCCTCCGAAAATTTATCTGACAAAATTTGTTGTAGTAATGTTTGTAGTTTTCATTCCCTCTCCTTGCAACTCCTTTTCCCCAAAACATTTTAATAATTTAAAGGTTGTTTTCAATTAAAGATGCAAAGCTACATGCATACATACAAGCGTGTCATAATTTAAGTATATAAATTATAAACGGTCAATGTCTAAATTTTAAAGTTCAAAGCAGTTCTGCAAGCAAATTAATGTTAAAAACAGGTTTATGAATTTTCTTTTAGTTTTTTATTTTGTTTTATCTGACTGCATTTTGAAAACCAAAAGGAATTAAGATTTCTTCAACTTTCACAATTTTCCAAGCTTTTGGTCACTTGCTCAATTTCTTTGTCATCTTTAGCCTTCCTCTGGCCAGTGGCTGTTGGAACCTGTTTGTTGTTCTTGGCTCAAAATTCCCAGTTGCTCATGGAAACTGAATCTTTTTTTGTATGATTTTACTGTCAAACTACTTCCTTTATCTTCTTCTTATTGTGAAATTGAATGCATAGGATTAAATAATGAAATGATTGATGTTTTTCATATCCAGGTTGCTAAAAACTCCGCCCAAAAATGCAAAGTCTGGAGATAAGCCAAAATGCTGGTTGACTGATGACATTAGAACTCCTGAGCTCAACAGAGTAAAGGGATCATTGGCATCAAAACTTGATCTCATTTCCATTCAGAACAGAAAAGGTACTCTGTGTTTTTGGATCTTTTTAGGTGCAAAAATTGGTGGCAAAGCAAGCAATTCTTGTCCTCATCTGCACTTTTCATGACATAAAAAGTTATTCTGCTAGCACATTCCAGTGTACTTACCTCATTAGTACCTGGTTCATTATCAAAGTAATTAACATTACAATTTTGAACCTGTTTCAGATTTTTAATTATTTGATTTTGACCTTTCAACTTGTTTTTTGTGAGTTTTATGGAGTATAATTGTCAATTTTGTTGTAGATAAATTGAATAATTTACTTGCAAAGCATAACATTGGCCAGCATTCTGAATCAGCACCAGGGAGATTATACCAAGCTGAGAGCATGTGCAGTGTGATGAGTTTGGATTGGGAGTATGATCAAGGTATTCTTGAGTGGGTTATTCACAGATGAAGCTTTTATGAGAAACCCTTTTTACTTTTTATGTTACATGAATCAAAGTAGTTGTCCCTAAAAATCTCTATGTGGATATTGGAACCTAGCATTTTTCTTAAGAGCAAATTATCTATCCATGACAGATGGGTTCATTTCCATGACTTTTCATGATAATAGAGGAGCAAAGTGTGACTTCATTCAAAATCTATTTTGGAGTATTTAAGTTTTGACCATATAACCAGAAATAGCATTATGAAATACTATTTCTGCAATGCAATATCAAATCAAAAATTTTCAAATTAAAGCAATATGCTGAACTGGTGTATTCCAATTATTTGATGGGGAAAGAGCCTGTGCTCATTTGGCCAAATCTCTGCCAGTTTTTAATCAATTTAACTCATTTTGCACATTGAGATTATTGCATAATACTCCATCAGCTTATGTTATCAAAATTGAAAAATTCTAATTACATACATTTGTAACATCTACTTTTGAACTTTTTTCCTTCCAATGTTAATCTCAAAATAATATATACTAACTTTGAACATATATAGGCATATGATCTATCGTGATATTCCAGTAGATTATTTTCATTTAACTGCTTCTACTAACTTGTAACACGTGCTATTCACTTTTCTTATAGATCAAATAGCACTATCTTCGCCCTATGGGAGACCAGTGATGGCTTATGAAAATTATGAACTAACAGGTCTTGTCGGCATAAGTTTGAAATTCGGTCTTTCACCAATTGTTCTAAATTTTGCATTACTCTTGTGGCGTTTTATGTTCTTTGACATTTGGTTTGGCGTAAACTGGGTTCTACAACATCAATGTGTTTGTTTGACATCGGATAAGGTGTAAATGTTTGTCCGGATGAATATGACAAAACAGTTTGTGATTGATATACTTATGATATACTAATAATTAATCATCAACACTTTTCCAGAACGCCTTTGATCATGTTTTGAGAGAGAAAGTGAAATTCCTTTTCTTTGACCACTGAAGCAGCTCCTTTAATTTGTAAACTTGCATTTGTAGCTGGTCTTCAAGGCACAAAGGCTCTAGTGAAACGTCGAATTGTCATTTCCTATGGCCATATGACGGCAGAAAATATACTGATGAGAATGGTTACGCTGTGCCTTATAATCTCTTTGAGATCTCTTGTCTAATTTGAACTTAGAAGATAAACCTTTATGCAATATGCTTCTGTTTGTTCAAACTAGCATTGCAATTTACGCTAATCGAAAAATTCTTGAAGCAATCATTCCTTTAACATAAATGCGAGAAGGTTTTCAGATCCAATTTATTACATTTAATTAAACAGCAGCAAAATTTTCCTCTTGTTTGTAACTTTTTTTTCGCCGGGTTTCCCTTAAAGAAGCTGACAAGACATATTTTGGAGGTTCCCTATAGAGATGTTGCTGTTTAGTTGATAAAAATTTTTCTTTCTTTTTTTAAGTTTATCTTAACATTGTTGTTACTCGCTGTTTTTGCTTAAACCTGATGACATCATGTTCTTTTCATCTAAGGAAGCTATAAAGATTTTTTTAATTTTTTTATGTAAATTAAGTAGATTTTATGTGTTAAAAATCATGCCTTATGATATTGGTCTGTTGGCTTGAGTCCATCAGAGATTTGTGCCAGTGTTCTGTTATCTGTCTTTCCCGTAGGCTTTCAATCTTTTACTATTTTCCTGCCTAAAGCTGCATGAAGTGCTCCCAGTGAATGTCTAAGCACGAATTCTTTCGTTTTCTCCCCCTCCCATTGTTCCGGGTTTTTGCAAAAATCTTGAGGACCTTCATTAGCAAACTTGCCTTGATCACAAACTTCTCTGTGCCTTGCCTAAATCGTATTGCTACCTAGACCCTTTCATTTCATTTCAGTTTTTTTCAAATTCCACTTCATACAATTTTTCACAATAATTCAACCAATTATAGCTAAACAGAAAGAAAATGAATGTGTTGTAGAAAGATCATACATCCACCAGAGAAATTATTACCATATACATTCAAGGAAATAAAGAGAACAAGATGATTGCGTGGAGGGAATTTCGTAAGGAGGAGCTCTCTCAGTAGTCAAACTAATCGAGGAGAGAGCACCTCCTTCACAGTGCCCTGCCATGTGTTGCTGGTTGTATCTTCTCAGTCTTTTCAATGCGACTTCTCCCTTTGCTATAAACTTTCCACAGAAGAAGAGATTTAGGACGTGGATTGGTTTTCTTTTGGCATATATTGAAGTTTTTACAGACAATATTTCTTACTCTTCTTTAGATATTCTTTCTCCAAAATGTTATGTTACCTTCTGTTGACCACCCAAAATACGGTGTCCCAACTATAAACCTGAAGTTTCGAAATACCAGTTAAATTGTTATCAATTCTAATCAGAGTAGTCCACGAAGTTGTTTCTCGTTTTAAATGGCGAAAGTTCTCGGGAAGGTTTTAATTACTTTGCTTGTATAAAATTAGAATGTTTAAAATGTGAACTTTGAATTAACCGAGAGAGTATAAATGCTACAGCCTTGCTAATGGAGCTCCGCTTGCCTCAGGAATGCAGCTTATGATATTTTCAACGGCATTTTATCATTTGCAGATTCCCCAATTCGACGAAGAGACTTCGGAAAATCAATGGAAAATAACGCTTTGGACGATTTACAACCCATGAGTTTAAAGTTTGAATGTAAGTGGAGGCTGAAGTTAGCTTTAAACGCATTCATGATATGAGGGAAAGGCTCGTGAGCCTATAGCTAGGTCCTAACAAGGAAAAGGGAGAAAGGATTAGGAAGCAAGAAAGGGAGGATCAAATTTTTTTAACTTTTTTTTGAAAAAAGAAAGATTGTCAGAGTCTGGGAAACAGTAAGGGGTAGAGCATTCCAAAGTTTACAAGGTCTAGGGAGGAAGGAAGAAATTTGTGATTGATTTCGTGCGTTAGGCAAAGAGACTTTGAAAGTGTGAGTACTGGAAGAGTGTCAGGTTTTTTTGTGCATGTTTAGGTGGACCTGGGATCATAGCTCTGATCTTCTCAGAGCAATGGCAGTGGTAGAGTGTATAAAAATGGCGATATCAGCGACAAAACGCTGATGGGAAAGAGGCTTAGAGACTTGTTGGTATTGATAAAACGAATACCTTTAGTTACCAACATACGAATACCAGGTCTCAAAGGAGGAAGGGAGGTTTGGCAGAGGTTTTGGGAGACGACCTTGTCCATGGACTAAAAGGAGCGAGAAATTGTTTGGTGGCCGGAGATCTTGTTTTTGATGCGACAGTCAAAAATGGTTTTTGCATTGTTGTTAATTTTGGTATATAACGTGCGAGCGAATACACTGGAAGCTCTGGATTGAGGTGTTTGGGAGTGACTCCAATCTTTGAAGCGGTGATTTTTGTTTTGGACAGCTTTGGAACGTTGTGAGAGTTGAACCACTAAGGAAAGGACTTTTTTCCAGGTTTTTGAAGGAAGATGGAATGAAAAGATCCATGCAAAGGAGAATTCTATTGGTGATAAATGAAGCAGATGCAGATGGGTCATTAGAGGAACCTGAAGACCAACTAGACAGTGGTCAGAGTTGCCTTGCTTTGTTTCCTGTATGATCTGGAATGCGAGTAGTGTCGGCAATCATTTGAGCCTCTGTACCCCGACCGGCAGGGTTGGTAGTATCGGGTCGGTAAGCGAGTCGGGGTTGTGAGCCATGAAATCACCAAGGATCATAATTTCAGCGCGTGGAGATTGTAACAAGATAGATTCAATAGATTTTGAAAGATGATTGAATAGTAGTTCATGATTATTGGAGTTGGGTGAGTGGTTAAGGTTACAAAAATATTTTTATGTGTTAGGGAGGGAAATTTTGAGGGATTAGAGTTGATAATGGCAGTCTCTTGGGTTTTCCACCAATGGGTTTTCGGGTTTTGTAATATCTGGCGGCAGACCTGCAGTGCACCCAGTCGGTAACCTTATTCATTCTGGCTCAAACCTATTTTTTGTTTTTTTCTCTATTATTTTAGCATCGCCTGTTTCTCAACGATCAGTGCAAATTGCTCCAGGACCTCTAACTCGCAGGGTTGGTTCCTCAGGTTAGTAACTTCCAATGATTACTGTTTCAACTTAAGATCGGCTTTTATTTGTAGCTCGTGTTAAGCTTCAGGGTTTGAAGCAAATCTAATGTACAATTGTTTCGATACTATTTTCAGATGTGTATCTTGTTTTTAATTCGTATATGAATCTTACCTCGTTTATGTCACCTTCATCTCAGATTCTGTTACTCAAGGGTTATATAAATGTCTCGAACTGAAAATTTATCAAACCAAACGTTTGCCTTTCGACCACAGTTTTGCCACAGATCCTTCTAGAAGTAGCGTCCATCAATTAATATACACAAGATATTTTAAACGATTAATGAAATGTACCTTGCTCTACTCAAGAAACAAATCCAGATCACTTTCATCTTTTAGGGATGAATGCAAATTTCAGGAGCTCTTCGTTTTCAGACAGAAGTGATTCGTCAGGTGGGCATCATGACTTGTTGCGTATTTATTACGTATTTATTTCGTATTTATTACGCTTTTTTATGTATATAAATGTCACCCATTTGACAAAGAGTTTGAATATATTATGTTTAAAATCATTCTTATAACTTGAAGTGTCCAATCAGTTGAGATTCTTTGAATAAGTAGGATTTTTTTTCATGAACTTGTTAGCTTATGTTCCAGACCCCTAATTTGAAAAGTTAGGGGTTTCAAGTTAGGGGTCTGGAGCCCAGGCTAGAATTTGTGCGCATTATATTTCCCTAGCCCAGGCCTCGCTAAAGTGGCGCTCGAAGGCAAACCATGCCCATCACATTTTGTCTGCAGGCACATCTGAGAAAGCATTTTTTTCAAAGTTTCAAATTGTTTTAGAATTTAGAGAAAGAATTCAGCTACATATTTCACCATGTTAATATTAAGATGTTGAGCGTGCAAGAGATGTTAATTGTGATTGCTGGTAATGGTCCAAATATTGAAAAAGCTGAAAGTATCCTTAATTATAGAATCAAACAATATCGAGCAATAAAACCGACTTCCATTTCGTTTGTTACTCGGATAAAATTAAAGACTCAATCGCTTCAAAATTTCCCTTTTTGTTGCAAGCTAAAATTTGTTTAAACTCTCTAATGCTATGTTTGTTGATAAAACCATCGTCATTTTAAAATAATTTTATGTTAAAGTAGCTCTTTGAAAATCTACCGGTCTTTGAACAGTAAAAGTGACTCGTAAAAATGAATGAAAGCGAATGTCGTATTGCTGTCATTGTTTCCAAAGCAAACAAACTTCTGGATTTCCCAAAAAGAATTCAAAAGAGAAATAAGTTTGCCTGCAGGACCGTTTTTATATTCGCGTACGATTCGTCATTAAGCCTTACCTTATGTTTTTTATTCTTAACAAATTTATATCCTACGCAATACATGCGAAAAAATATTGCATGCACCTTTTGCAAAAAGGGTTTGTGCTCGCAGGCACAAAAATGTTTAAAGGACGTCTGCCCTAGCCTCCAATTTGAAAGTTTATGTTCGTGACAGGCATGTGCAGACATGTCTTTGCGGAGACTGTCAATGTTCCTTTTCTCATTTCAACGTAATGCATTGTGTAGTTCCTTACCAAGTTAAACTGATACCAAACGCTTACAAGAAATCTAATTATAGGTGACTTTTCAACAAGCCCACGTAGTTCTCTGGGATCTTCAAGAAATTCACTTGAATTAGCAGATGACATTGGTATGAACATCCTTAAATTTATTGTTTTGATTAGTATAAATTTTGGTTTTCTACATTGAGGGTATTTCCCGAACATGAAAAGACAAGTACCATATTTCCACATCTGTACCGACTGTCGACACGAATTGTATAAAGCAATTGGTCTAGGCCAAGGAAATTAAGCCCCATAAACCAATGGCTAAAATATTTCGTTTCTTTTGACGAATATCAATGGCATTAAACACTTTACAACAAAATGATCACCTCAAATATTGATTTTCCAATTGAACGCCGGTTGTTTCACCCAAACAACTTTCGCTCAACTGGCGTGTTGCTACGCGGGATGTCTTTTGTGTAATTTCAACTTTAGTTTAATGATTTATTTTAATTCAGTTTAGTTTTAGTTTTAATTTCAGTTTTAGTTTTAATTTTAATTTTAGTTTTAATTTTAATTTTAATTTTAGTTTTAATTTCAGTTTTAGTTTTAATTTTAATTTTAGTTTTAATTTTAATTTTAGTTTTAGTTTTAGTTTTAATTTTAAGTTTAAGTTTTAGTTTTAGTTTAGTTTTAATTTTAATTTTAGTTTTAGTTTTAGTTTTAGTTTTAATTTTAGTTTTAGTTTTAGTTTCAGTTTTAGTTTTAGTTTTAATTTTAGTTTTAGTTTTAGTTTTAATTTTAGTTTTAGTTTTAATTTTAGTTTTGATTTTGATTTTAGTTTTAGTTTTAGTTTTGATTTTAGTTTTAATTTTAGTTTTAGTTTTAATTTTGATTTTAATTTTAATTTTAGTTTTAGTTTTGATTTTAATTTTGGTTTTGATTTTAATTTTAGTTTTAGTTTTAGTTTTAATTCTAGTTTTAATTTTAGTTTTAGTTTTGATTTTAATTTTAGTTTAAGTTTAAGTTTAAGTTTTTATTTTAATTTTAGTTTTAATTTTAGTTTTAATTTTAATTTTAATTTTAATGTTAGTTTTAGTTTTAGTTTTAGTTTAGTTTTCGATATACGAAAAAGGCCGAAGAGGCGAAAAGCACTGATCTCTAAAATAGACTGGACCGAACATCTATTACACGGTATTTTCTCTTACATCAGCACGAGGAAGTAATCGAATATCTCCATTTTGGGATCTCTCACACCTAAAGCTTAGGGCTGCCCTGGGTAAAAACTGTACATACAGAGTGGTTCTGCGCTTTTTAATGTGCATTAAACTTTGAATTCTTAAAGAATCTAAAAGCAAAAGGCCAAGGTAAATGAATGAACAGTGGATTGTCCCTAACATTAACTCAATACAAGGGCAAACATGTTAAAAGTCACTTACGAATGCTTTGTTTCAATGGTTTTTTTGAACTTTGATATTAAAAAGCAGGTTAAACCAAGACCAACATGATTGATCTCTAGCCCCAAACAACACGGTGAGCTCCTAGCATGGACGCTGCAATGTGGTATCAACGCTGGGCTGGAGAAGCTCGATCAAGTCTTTTTTTTAGATCAGGGTTGTAAAGCCAGTATGGCTTTGCAAAGCCATGAAGAGGTCGTAAAGCCTCTGTATGGCTCTACAAAACAGAAAGAGGTTGTAAAGCCTATGTATGGCTCTGCAAAGCCAGCACAGAAAATGCAGCAAATGTTCAAGATTCTCCTAAATGGAGAAAGCTTGTTTTGTAAGCAGGTTTCTAATCTTTACCGTTTGCAACTTGCCATCCGTGCTAATCTTCATAGCAAGAGCACACCCATGATTGAATGCTATCCTGTGAACCCTAATTGTCTATTTTTTTGCTCCACAGCGGTTCGAAAACCAAAAGCAAAAGGAGGTATTGAACACTATTTTATTCGAATAGCATTTTCTTAGTCTTCTTAGATGAAACATCACTTGCCTTAACTCAAAAAGCATCGTTGTGATGATAACTAACGCATACATATTCTATGTGATAAAATGGAATGGGAGCCTTTTTTCTCGTCTTTAAATTCATTTCTTATATTAAATTTTAATCTTGTGCCCCGAAAAAAAAGCTGTCAAATTCAAACTTTAAATGAATGGGGCTTTTAATGATTTTATTACATATTGGCTAAATGCTTTTTCGTTGGACACTCCGCAGCGCATAAAAGGTCAGAATAAGGGTCCGAAACAACATTACAACTGAAGTCCAAGTGAGAAAACAAATTCCTTGTGTTTACATAATGGCAGCTTTTTTTTTGTACGTAGATCGATTCAAAAACTGCTAGATGCAAAGGCGGCTGGGCTTTCACAAAGAGCGTTTGTTCGACTACAATCAAAAGCCTAGTATAGCTATTTTAGATATATTGACAACTGATATCCAATTTTCAAAACATAAGCTGAGTGTGATAACTTTTCTAAAACACCTTAATAGCCTACATCCAGCCCTCCACTTTAATTTTGAAAAGGAAGAAAATGATTGCTTGCTATTTATATGTTTTGGTCGAAAAGTCTAAGACTGGATTACTTATCAATGTATATCGCAAGCCCACTTTTACCGGTCAGTACATATGCTGGAATTCCTTTACGCAAAACAACACCAAAAAGTATCAAAAAAACCTTATCAAAAAATTAGTTCATAGGCCACTCATGATCTGCTCGAAATCTAAAATTCACGCTGAACTGGAAAAACTTAGAAAAATCTTCAAAAGGATTGCGTTCCTTCATTCAAAAGGATTGCGTTCCTACCACCCAAAAGAATTTACGTGCGAGTGTGATTCTGGCTGCGTAGGTTGCACAACCCAAAGATAGGGGGGTAAAACAGCATGTTCCTTCCAGCATAAGAAACAAAACTACCCTTCAAAAAGAACAGCCTCCTCGATCTTGTAGGCCTAGAAACACCGTTAAAACAAGTGATTCTGCCTTCGGTCAACATTTTTTTGATAACCCAGATTGTGTAAAAGCCTATTGTGACGACCTGTTTCAGTTAATTGACAAAGCCCGGTTGTCTTTTCATCTTTTTTTTAGTCGATCTACAGACAAACGAAAAAGCCGCCATTGTGTAGACGGAAGAAGTTCGCTTTCTCTCTTTGACTCAAGTGGTAATTTTTCTTCAGGCAGGCGGCACTGATTGGACAACTATATCGGTCTTGCTTTTGCGTTTTTCTGATTGGTCTTTTTCGATCTACACTTGAGTGTTTATTTTTCAACGTGTTCTTTCGGACCCTTAGTCTGTCGTTTTAAGCTGTGAGGGGGTCAGAAGAAAACTTTTAGACAATGTGTTACGATATGTTTCATATTTTCAAAGCTCTTTTCAAGTTCTGTACCATCAAAAAACTGTTGCATGAATAAATAAACATTAAAGTATTTTATAATAAACAAAGAACTTCCTATCATGATGAAGCTTGATTTTAAAGGTAGGAAGATCCTGCTTCCAATTTCATCATTGTTTGAAGCTTCTATCCCTGAAGAAACTCTGGAGAATAAACGCGTGAAATCTGGAATAATGTTAAATCCTTACGCAGCTTGGGACTTAATGAGTAAGAATTTAAATTTATTTAAAGTCGGATAATGTTTCAAGACTAATTCTAACATGTCAGCTCATTAATATTCATATCAAATAAGTCAAAAACATTTCTGTGTTTAATATAACGTTAAAACCATTTAAAAAAATAAGATGAATTGTTAGCATATTTGTGTTTTTGTATAAATTATATTAATCTAATTTTTTAACAACACTGTAACTGAACTGAATTTTTAACTTTGCTCTTAAAACTAAACAAAACTGTTATCTAAACTAAACCTTAACACTTTTTCCTTCAAATAGGGTGCTGTCTTGTCCTGCTAGCTTATTGTTAACTTATCAAGCCATACTGCTTTAGTCATTTTCTTTTTAATAATCAGGCATTATAACCTAAAGATAATAAAAGTGCAGTTAACTTTATGGTTAAAGTAAATCTTTTGGAAATATATTTTACCCTGTATGCGAGGCTTCTAAGGTTAAATTCAAATTATTTAACTACACAGTAAAGACACAGCATAGTCCTTATCTAACTATGCCGCTTTTTGTGTTTACCTTTGGTTCTTCACAGTATATCATACTGTGCTATGTATAAAATGCTACTTCTTTATGCCACTTCTTGACTTTGGCAGCAGTTGTCAGAGATGTAGCACTTCAAACGCTGCATTAATGCTTGTAAATTCTGATCCAGGACACTTTACTTGCTAGCACTTATTCTGCCTCCTTAATTGCACAAATCTACTACTTGAAAGTCCATAATCGGATTTAGCACGGAAATTTCCAGTGGACGTGCTTAGCCCTTTATTGTTTGCATTGTTAGTTATACTTTCCAATAATTGAAAGAATTGAAATCCTTTATGTAATTAAACCTTGGCAGTGCCTGTGGTAAATAAAGTTTCAGCGGGAATACGTTCTGAGGCCGCCGATAGTCTGCGGGAATACGTGACATGATCATGTCTCCATCTTTTTAGCGTCATCAAAATAACGGATTCTTGCAAAGTCATTACTTTCTATCGCTGATAGTCTGTATCTGATTGCCATGGGCGAATTTATTAATCATTAAGTTATGTTCACCATGCAAATTTATTTCCCTACAATTTACTTTATTAAATTTTTCTAGCAGATGTCAAAGAGCAATAACTTTTCATGTTTCTGTTCGTTCTATGTTTTTCTTCCTTTTTCAGCCGAGCAAAAACTTGCATCAGGTCGCTGTTCAAGCGAAACATCATCATTTCCACCCCAAGGTAAGATAGAATACATTTTCTTGCATTACTAAACTTTGAATTATTTTGACTCTAGGTGACTTTATTGTTTCAAGAAATCAAAGTTGAAGCTGCAGTGCTTCAGTGCTTTGCAGTTTTCTTTTTTTGTTAGTAGACGACATTGTTTCCCAAAGCTTTATATGCCTAGTCTTTTTCTGTTGTTGCTGGTAAAGTTTGGTCTTCTCATCACAAAAGCACTAACAAGAAACGGCCAGGCTGCTTTTTTTAAAAAGACACAATAGGAGGACGAAAAATTTGTGAACTAAATAGTGCTACTTTGAAGTAATTACCGCAAAGAAGTAATTCTGCATAAAGCCTTTTGCTTAATGTTACGGAATGTGAAAATGTTTTCTTTTATTGAAATCCTCAAATGATTATTTTCCGAAACAAGAGGCAAGTCTAGATATCATATACATTAGTTTTATTTTTATTGATATTGCAGGTGATGCCAACCTAACAGTCAAGCTTCCGACTGCGTCGTCGGACGGACCAGGTCTGTCTTTTAATAAAAAATTATCTAGAATACACTATTTCAACGTTAACACGGCCTCGTTTTAGTAGTTATGTCTGAGTACGAGCTCCAGGTGGAAAGATCGACCAGCACGTTAGTAAACATTCAAAATCTATACGCCGCTGTGCTGAAAAATGAGCGTGAGAAATTTGTATAAAAATATCGTTTGATGAAAGAAATATGAGAAATTGTTGCAAAGGAGTTAAAGGAATCCTACTCCTAAGCGAAGATATTCAGAATGTTTTAAAGCGAACAGAAAATCGTGGTATCTTTGGAAAACAGAACAGAAGACATCCAGTGAGCCAATGATAGAGGGGTCAAGAACAATGAATGCCTTGCCTTCTTGGATAGGTTTTGATTTTTTCGATATAGACAATAACGAAAGGATTAAAGTTTGATGCCAGTCACGATAACCTGTTTGGTGATATCCACACATTGTTCTGAAAAGGAGGGCAGGTATTCCTTAACAGAAGGTTCAGAATAAACCGCTGTGGCTGCCCATTTCATTCTATCATGTGTCAATCTATGTAACTGTACCATATCTCTTCCACCAGCAATTACTTTGATGTTGTCGCTATTCCTAACTTTTAGTCTTCCACTTGCTCTCTTCTCATAAACCATTCCCTGAAATGATTGCTGCTTATGTCCTTTCCTAGAATGTGCCCGCTAAATGCCAATTTTTTCTGTCTAAAATTAGTAGTAACTAAAGGAATTACTTGCCTAAATTGTGCATACATTGCGGAATACTTAGGATGTTTACTTAGATTGGAACATGTCGCCATTATAGACATGTTTCGGATCTTTTGTAAAGCCCGATCGTCGTTCCACGTAGCAGTTTTAAAATCTATCTACGTAAGCACGAAAAAACCGCTACTGTGTAGACAAAAGGAGTTCGTCTGCACCTTAGGACTCCACTGGTAACATTCTAATAGGCAGGCGGCACTGATTGGTCAGCCTTTACAGTCATGTGCTCGTGTTTCTGATAACAGATAGGAAAAATGTCTGCCGCTGGTCATAGTATCGCGGGCTTATGTGCACATTTGCAGGTTCTTCAATATCTGACACGTGCCCAGTAAAATCTGTGAGGCGAAGATGAAACTGTCAGTGCTAGTAAACAGAAATAAAATAATACTCTGTGAACAATGCTAATGAAATTTACAAGGTGAGACGTAAATAGTTCCAGATTTACATCCACTAGCCATAAATTATTGTCATTCATACACAGTGCAAAACTAAATTGTGCGAAGATAGCACAGCGTTCCAAGACAAATGCAAACACAACTGATTAGGAACTGAAACTACGATGATATCTCAAATTCGGCACTTTGCAATGCTTAGATATTTAAATTAAGGCAATGTGAATTGCTCACGATGCACGATGACAATGCTTGTCTGCTTGTAAGTGGGAAAATATTCCTTTCAAGGCTACAACTGATCTTTTACGAGGATTGAAAAATTATATTGTGCGAAATTAGCAGGGCGTTCTACGGCACTTTTAAACTCAACTGATTAGGAACTGAAACTACGATGATATCTCAAATTCGGCACTTTGCAATGCTTAGATATTTAAATTAAGGCAATGTGAATTGCTCACGATGACAATGCTTTTCATTTTATAATATTTATACAGGTTAAAGGTTCATACATATGTTTTTCAACCTGACCTGTTTAAAAGATTAAAATAAGAGCTAATAACTATGTTAAAATACTAGTAACAAAATAAATTTACCAATCAAACCTAATTTACAATATTTAATAATACTAAGGCTATAAAAAGTGGACGTAAAGATGAAATAAAAGTTGTCCCCGACTATAGTTGTTCTTTGAAGGTTTTCAGGGAGGGGGCCAATTTGGTAGCCCTTTCTAGATTATTCCACAGTTTTGGACCGCGATAAGAAAAAGCCTTTTGGCCATTTATTGTTTTTAGCAGCGGTATCTCAAGATCAGTTTCTGATGAACGCAGAAACCGTTCTCTATCATCTGAACATTTTTCCAATAATTTTCTCAAGTAGTCTGGTGCAAGCATATTTAGAGATTTGTAAGTTAGCGTGGCTGTCTCCTTTCTTACAAGATTTCTGATGGTTAACCAGCCAAAATTCTGAATTATCGGAGCAGCAGACGCATCGTATGGGCTGCTAGTTACAATTCTGGCAGCTCTATTTTGGATTTTTTTGCAACACGTCATGCTTGTATGCTTGTGAGTGGGAAAATATTCCCTTCAAGGCTACAACTGATCTTTTACGAGGATGGAAAAATTAAATTGTGCGAAGTTAGCACGGCGATCTACGGCAAATGCAAACTCAGTTTGCACAATTTAATTTTTCCATCCTCGTAAAAGATCAGTTGTAGCCTGGAAGGGAATATTTTCCCAATTTAAATTAAGGCAATTTTAACTTTGAGGTAATCCTGAAAGTAATTTTATCGATAGGTCTTATAAAAATTTTCACCTGGTTCTCATTCATTAAAAGGGAAGCACGATTTCCAAAAAGGGGCGCCAGACCTGCTCCTAGTTGCCCTCCTTTAATCCACCACTAGGTATAGTTTATCTAGATGATTATTACTGTATTATTGCAGACCCTTAACTTTGCAGATGGAAACCCCCTTGTTGCTCCAAATGTACGAAACCTTTAATGTGCCATTTTAAATCTTACTGACTTTTTTCAAAAATTAGCAACAGTTGAACGACAGTCTCCTCCAATCAAATTCCCCCATTTTTTACAAGCTCTCGGTTGAGATAGCGCTTTCAGTTTATTATTCATAATCCATTTGCAAAAAAACAAACGGGAGTGCTAAAGTGCTAAATATTTCGTGGCGTTTTTCCTTGCCCTGTAAATCATGGTTCTGTGGCGCCATGTAGTTAGGCGTACAATCATCTGCCGACCACTCTTCCCATTATGATTCGTAACCTTGCCCACTCTGTGAGCTCGATCGATAACCTCTTCGGGAACTTTTACCCCAAGTTCAGCAAAAACATGTTTGACCTTGTCAAGGCAATCGTCAGCAAATTCTTTCATGCCATGAGGATTTGGTGGCATTGATCTGTCAAGATCAATGCCACTTATACGCAAGCAAAGGCGGCGTTGGTATTGCTCCAAATTATCGTTTACTATTTGGGGCTGCGAAATATGGCTCTCCATGACCTCATCTTCCATCATATTAATTTTTTTATTTTGATCTTCAATAATTTTCATGAGGTTACTTATACAATCCTTTGTCGCTATTTTATTTTCTAACTTCTCAAACTGTTGTCTCCTGAGGTCATGACGACTTTCCATAGTTAAACTTGTAGGGGAAGCATCTGATGAAGTGGCAGAGTCAGATTTACCTCACCGTGGCTTCGTCATTATGGACATAGATACTACAATAACGTGGCTTAGTCATTAACAATTACTAAAACTTGGTAACGAAGGCAAGATGAAGGAAAAAGAACCCACAAAATCATAGCATGTCGCATATGAACTAATCCCACCGCTTGTCGCAGCTTTCTAGAATACGTCGGCCATCTTGTACATACACCGCCGAAAAAAAACGTAGCAAATGAATTGTCGAAGCACATGATTCTCGATTTTTGAAGCACAATATTCAGAAAAATTTTCTTGTCATCGCTCTTTTCTTTCTAAGATTTAGTTAGAGTTAATTTCACAAGATTCACCAAATTTTGGTAATAATACTGTTTTAGAAAAAGATCTCTAAAATTTTCTCCTTTACTATCTTTCTAATGTTTTAGCTACGCTCAAATTGTAGTTTATTTTGCTACGTTTGATGTGAGATCCTTTATTAATGTGGAGATATCCAAACTTTTCCAATGTTTGTACCCTATGTTGCCTAAATTCTGTTTTTTATTGTCTTATAAATGAAACTATTTTTCGGGGCTGAAATACTTATGCAAGTTTGCTTATGAGGTGCATTGTGTTTCGGTTATTTCACATGTGCCCTTTTGCACGAGCTGTTGTCAAAATGTCCCTCTCGACGACGACTAAAAGCTCCGGTATTTTTGTAAATCTTCCCCGCTGCTGATCTGTCATGTTTGTCTAAAGACGTTTATAGAGACTGGAGCTTCTATAAGCGTCTATATGAAGTTTAGTCTACTCAAATAGAAGCAAAGTCATTTTTGCTAATCGATTTTGTAATTAATCAAGAAATATGATTGTTTTAATCTTTCTTGTAGCCATAAGACGACGTGCCCCTGGAAATCAATTGTCCCAGTCTAGTGACAGCATCCCAAGATCGAGGAGGTCGAATATAGGTTCGCCTTACTCAAGCAAAGATCAAGTTAGTGCTTCTACTTCAGTAAGAAGTAGTATGCCACGTCCGAGAACATCAATTCCTTCTTCTAAAAAGAATGTTGTCTCTCCCCGGTAAAGTAGCTTTTTGCGTCGATTTGTTATCATGTAAGAATCAATTCCAGTTTTAGATGTTTCAGATGTTAAATGTTTCGGATTCCATTTACTGTGGTCATGGATGTTTAAATTGGGTTTCTCATAAAGTCTGCTGCCATATGCAATAACTAGGAAACTTGACTATACCAGTCTTTAGGACTGACAAAGCAGTGTTGAAATACTTCTTTTTCCTGTCATTAGATTCTTAAACGACCTGCTCTTCTCTCCTTAGGGTTTCTCAAAACCCCGATGTAGTTCCAAGAAGAGGACGAAGTCCTGAACGCAGATCTCGAAGCCCTGATATTGTACCAAGAAAGTCGGGCATTGTACCACGCGGGCAACTGGCGAATAGATACTGAATCTTTCACCTAGAGACCGTTGAATGGCGCATGAAGGCTGAAAGTAGTCTTATACCTTCTAGCAACTAAATAACTATTTAATACTGAGAATGTTCCTTTTTTCTTAATGTTTATAGGCAGAAGTACTTCGAAATCATATTTTTCAATCTTATTATCGGTTGTTAAGTATGACAGGAAATTTCTTTCTCATGTCAGCAATATGATCATTTAAAATGTGTTAAAAATTTTTCTTTTCTAGATGAGGCTCTCTTTCTACATAAGATATTTGTGATCAAAATACCAACGTAAACAGTGCTTTATTTTGTGTTCTTAATTGGCCGGTAGCTTTTTCTCCTTATGATTTTTATTATATATTTTGAGGCATGCATTCTGGTTTTCAAGAACTGGGTAATTTCGAGCTCCAGGAAATTCATGACATGCTAAGGTTCAACAACTTCATCTTTTACAAGTGACATTTTTAAGCAACACTTAGCAAAGACAAACTTCAGATATTTACACATTTTATACACCTCACAATAAGATAAAGATAAGCTAAGTTGTACGACAATGTTTCCGTTCTTCTGAAATTGTTGTTAGCTCCTCCGTCTGTTATCGACTACTTCTGTTGAATTGGTCAAAAAAGGCAGCAGTAGGTTGATTTGTATACACCTCTCTATTTATATAGTCGGAGCTAAAATGAATAAAACATATTCATTTCAAATTGGTACAGGAAACAGAACACCAGATATTGAAGAAGTCATTTAACAAAACTGAAGACAAGGAAATAGGAGGAATAATTTACAAGACGAAGGCATTGATGCCTCGACTGAACTGGCAACACATGAGCTCTCCCTCAAGATTGTGCCAACCATTGTGCTACCTTTGACAGGAAAGTTGTATACTGGGCCTGTGCCGATATACAGATCTAAAGGATTCGAAGGTCTGATAATATGTTAAAAATTGTTGTGAATAGAAACAATGTTTTGCGGAGAATGGTGCCTACAGCTAAAGAATTGAAGGTAACTGTTTTAGTCAGGCAAATATGATAGGTTATGAATATTTTCTAAGATCTTCCTTGGGTATAGAGCGATGTTGTAAATATTTGGATGCATTTCCCAACCATGAACAAAATTTGATAAAATAAAATAACGACTTTGTACAAGAAAGGAATATTTGGTACAACGTTTGCGGCGCCAACTATGCGCCGGCCTTCACTGAACTCCTTAACAATAACACCACCCTTCTTACCCCAAGCTCCCTCAGTAGTGACTTCCCTGATAATAATTATTGTCCAGTTCGATGATATAGTCGCTACAACGATACTTAAAAATGCTATTAGATTTTGAAAAGAAATACATACTCTATCTGAAAATTCTCTATCACGTCCTGTCAGTAATTAACCCCCCACCTCCACTCACCTGAAGGCTGAAGGTGTTTCGACACGCCTCTGATATATATAGCCCGACGTGTTAAACGGTATGATGCATATCGGATTTGATAATTTTCACGCAAAAAAGTAGGTAGATCCAATATGAAACCAAGTGATGTCAACTGAAAACCATATATCATGTAAACAAGGCCTTAGCAGCTTCACACTACTAGGTTTTCACTTATATCTATCTACACTCTACGGCGGGGAACATGTTTATTTTTGTGCATTCACTGTGCTTAGAGAAACATGCTTAGAGAAAGATACTTGTTTTTTCTGTTTTGATCGTTCACACTGCTTCCAATTTTAAACATTTTTAGAGCGTTTCCAAAAGTCCCTTTTTGTGGGTTCACACTGCTCACAGAAACGTAGTAAAAATCCCAAGGGGGGGATACTCCCGTTATGGCCTAACAGGGAGTCCAGTCAGGGTCAAAGAGGGCTAACGCGAAAATTTTAAAAAATTACCCTTAAATGTTACCATTTTTGACAGTAACCCTCAAATGGTAGCATAACTACTGAAATTATGTCCTTGGTAGCATCCATTGCTTTGTGCTCCCCTGGTCTTTTTTGACAAATTTCTTTAAGCCCTGGCAAAAGGACTCAACATTTCACTAAACATTTCACTCACCTTTAGTTTAGCCAAATGTTTAGTGAAAAGTTTAGTCGTTTTGCCACCCTGTTTATTTTTTTTTAGTCGTGTTAAGTGTTGTTGAGCAAAGTTTGAAACTGGTCAATATTGTTTAGCGTTGTAAAGTGTTGTTTAGCAAATGTTTAGTTTTGAAACCAATTAAACATTTCTTGTGATCACGTAGGCGCTCTAGCTGTGAAAATCCAAAGGTTTCCGTCGGTTTTCGTTGGTTTTCCTGTCTCTACGTGACCCAAAAGCCCTTATGAGACTTCTGCATATCTCGTTGTACGCTACTGTCTTCTTCAACAGTCAACTTTGTTGTCAATGTGCTAAATATCTTTTTTCCCCGTCGCTTCATCCGATTCTTATTTTTATCCACTGCTTGTGCATGCAGCAAAATAAACCAAATGCAAATTCCTATGCAAGATCCCCTACAACCCAACAGCGTCATAGACAGCTCGCAGTTCAAAAAATTTGAGTGAAGTTTAGTGAAAAGTTTAGTCACGTTTTTCCACCCTCGCTAAACTTCGCTCAACTTCACTAAACAAAAGTTTGAGTGAAATGTTTAGTGAAATATTTAGTCGTTTAGCCAGAGCTTTATGATTGTTTGAAAAAAGAAAAGTTCACGATAGCAGTCTGCTCGAAGTACTCCAAGGAGTTCTTGCGGCGAAAAATCGATGAAAATGTAGCAAATAAGAAACACCGTGATGCGACGAAAATGATCAACAATAAACACAGGTAAATTAATGAAGGCTAATATTTCGCCACGGCATAAGGGCTTCCATCAGAGCAAACGTAAACCGACTAAAAATGTACACATTTAAAAGATATTTTTCACAATTGACAGTTGTTGTTTTGGGAAAGATAGGAACTTGTTTGTTATCTATAATAAATCGCAAGCTAAACTGAACAGTTGAGTTATTATCAAAAATGGGCCTTTCGGTAGCACTTTAGTAAGACCCTCAAACCGACTGGACCTCCTATCAGGCCTTAATGGGAGTACCCCTCTTCTGGGGTGAAGATGTCTGTTTTGTGGTCGTTACAGTACTGTTTTTATAGATATCAACTTTTTATAGCATGGCAATTAACCTCACTATTGTGTCGTTTTTTCCTGTTTTTGTTCTTTCTAATTAAATTTTTATATTCAATATGATAAATAGCTTCGAACGAAGAAAATGTATACCCTTGTACAAAATTAATAATTTACAAATGGGTAAAATATTCAAATTTTTCACTTTTAATAAATGTTCATAAATACTTCATTATTCCAAAATAGACATAGTGCCCCATTGCACACCTTGATTTGCTAACAAGTGCGATTGGATGCATGCCTGCAAATTCATTCCTTGTATGGCCTGGTAATGGTATTTTCTATTTCAATAGATACATATGAATCCTCCATAAATTTCGAATAGGTGTATATAATTATAACCTATACTGCTTTTCGTAATAAATAATATCTTGTATACATACTGTGCTTTCTGTTCAGCAGAAAGTCTTAAATTCTCTGAAGCATTTTGTTTTTCTAGATCTTTTATCAGCTTCTGCTGTTGTTTTTCCATAACCAAGGCAGCTTTTGCTTCAGCGATCCTTTTTTTATCCCAAGCTTCATTTTGTTGCCTTTCTTGTTCCTCTAGTCTCTAAAAAGTTATGAGCATTGACAATGTTATGAAGCAATATGAAACAATGGATTCAACATATGTATATACACAAGTAGCTACAAAGTCAACAATGTGAATATTCAATTCTTGGCTGGATTTAGCTTCATTTTGCCTTACAAAAAAATTTAACAGATAAAGGAAGAGAGAGAGTGACTTTAAAAGCACTGAAAACCCAGGCCTTTCTGTTTGATGTAAGCAATCTATCGCAATCATGTCTGCAGTCATGTAAACCCAACTACATAGGCAATCAATCACTTGTCAAAAAAGTAAACTGTGATGAGCAAATGTTTTATCAATAATCCAAAGTAAAATAGATGATACCAAGCTGGCATATTGTCTGGGCAGTTGAAGTGTTTACATAGAAAGTTTAAATACAACATTTAATAACCATTCTGCAACAATGTTCTATATGACTTCCATTATGTATATAGAAAATATAAACCAAGCACATTTTTATTGGGTTTTTAATCTTGGGTGCATTAAAAATTATATTGACAGTTTTTCTCATTCTCTGTTACCATACGTAAAGAAACTCACATCAAGGTTGTAAACTCTTTCTTTCAAATACTCTCTTTCACTCTAAACGTTACAAATACTTTCAACAATGTTGAGTTTTATTACTGGCTATCTTTACCTGAAGCATTCACTAGTGCAAAATAAAACATGACACGAGAGGCCTGGCCCATTTGCGTGAGCTATGTCTTGGGATAAGGCCTGTTAATGACTGGGAATGGAATTGAACTTAAACTGAATTAGTGAAGAACACATAAACACAGGATATTTATTTCCTTTTGGGTGGAAATTTATTAATTGATTTCCCTTGCTAGTAAGTGATTTGCACATGAGAAATAATGCTAACACTTGGACACGGACACTTGCCATTTTGTTACCAAAAGCCCTGTTTGACCCATATAAATGTGTTGCCAAAAGAAAGCTGAATAAAAGTGTCAAAGAATTGTGAAATCTACACTTAACTTAAATTAAGCAATGTCAATGACTTGAATATGGCGGCATTCTTAAAAGATTTTTCAACAGAAAAGCAAACAAAGAACATAATTTGACACTATAAACACATTTTACAAACTATTGCCAATATTGGGGCCTAAGGGAGTCAAAAGTATGTCTAAAAGTGTTGCTGGAAAACTTTTGATTAAGATGATTGGCTTAGTGAGTTGTAGCACTTCAGTTCTCAAATAGAATGATGAACTGAATTAATAAACTTAAGAATGAAATAGTACCTTTTTCTCTTGAATCTGATCATTTTGAATGTCTCTGATCCTGTTAATCTCTGCAGGGCTCATTCCTTTCCACCGATCTGGAATAACACGATGTGAACCAAAAGCACTTTGTGCAACAGCAGGGTTTTCAGTTAACATGTCCCCAAAAACATTATTCGAAATTTCTGTCATGCTGTCATCAAGCTCTTTTTGCTTTTCTAATTCCAGTCTGGCTGATTTTTCATTATGGAGTGCTTTGTTGAACTCTTTAGTTGCCATGTTGATAGCTCGTTTACATTCTTGCTCTGCTTTAGCAAGCTCCATTGCTCTTTGCTCATTTTCAATTGATTTCAGGTCATATAGATGTTTGGCTTGTTTCACATTTGCATCATTTTGGACTTTCTCCATCATTTGCTGTTTGCACCATTCCCTTTGAGAAAGATAACTTGCTCAGGTTTTGTCTATGTATACACATACAAAAAATTGATGTAAGAATTGTAAATTTTGAAAATGTTCAAACTGTTTGAGGGATGATAAAAATTGTAAGTAGAAACTGCAAACTGAAAACAATTTCATGCCCAAATAGCCAGCTGCTTGTTGTTTGAAGATTATAGAGCAGAAGCTGAAAATGAGAAAAAAATTGAAAAAAAATTCAAGCAAAGCAATTTTATATTTAATATTAAAATGAACAACCTTGTTTGTTCCTGTTGAAGTTTCTTCCTTTCTTTTCCACTAAGATCTTCACCTAGGAATCTTTGCATGCTTGAAACTCCGCATCTTGGGTCATCATCAGATATTCTAGCAGGTGCATCTTTCATCTTAGCTTTAGGGTCATTTAAATCCCATTCTTTGCCACTGTCTGGGGTCTGAAACGTTTTTCTAAATTCATTCAACTTTATGTTGAGTTTCCTTAGGTCCTCCTCTTGTCTTTTTTGAAGTAAGACACATATCTTGTCATTTCTTATCATACTTTTAGCTATGGAGAAAAGAACTCTCTTTGAGTACATGATTAAAAATAATAAAATTGGAAAGTAGGTTCAGAATCAGAGGACATCTTTTTAATAAAAATAAAGAAGCATTTTAGACATTGCTTTTTGGAAAGAAATAGGATATGCATTACATTTTGTACAGGGATGTATTTTACCATCATCGTGAGACACATGCAAGTGTCAAAATGTGTGGAAACATAAAAAACGTGATATTTATGAGACTCATTTTCATTACCCAGAAATAGAAAATACATTGGAATATTGTCCACTCTATAGTCTGCACAAATACAATGAAACTAGACTTGTTGACATACCAAAAGCATCATTTCTTCTCTGTTCTTCATTAGTTACCCAGTCTCTTTCAGCACACTGTTGTTGCAAAGCTTCAGTATCAACCTGTTAAAATAACAAGAGCCCTTATTGGAAAGTACAAAAAGTTTTTAATTTCACCTTTTTGACAAGATATAAACTAATGGTAATTGGAATTTATCTTCAACCTATCACAAAGAGGATTACAATAATGACAATTATTTATGCTAGGGCATTAAATAGAAATTCTGATTCTTTGACGACCAATAGGCATTCAATCGAAAAAGAACAATTGGATTTTTAAGACTGATGCGAAAGGTGGTTGTTAGAAAGTGGCTTTCTTCTGAAATTATGCAAGCAAAGCGTCCCAAAGTTGTTGAGCTTTTAATTTTAGATTCTACAGCTGCATTATTTACAAGCTAATGTTATCGAAAAAAATATGCTTAGAACTTTCATTTCAGGACAGTTTTCCAGGTGAACAACTGGAGACATTAGCATATTTAGTTGCTTGCAATTGCCTGACACAACCAAAATCTTACCCCGATTGTCCGAACTTTAGCATTGAATATTCTACTTTGGCGTTCTTTTTCCCTCTGCCTTCGACGCTCAATCGCTGCTGACTCTTTGAGATCGATGGGTAGGTCGAGTTTATACATTTTTGACAGCTTTTTAGTTTTAAGCTAATCACTTCTGCTTTTCTCGTTGCATATAAGACTTTCTTAGAACGATGTATCTATGAATTTGTTTTGCTCCGAAGCAAAGAAATGTTGCGTAGCAACAGGATAAACTGAGATGGTAAGCCTCGTTTTCGAAGGGATAATCTACCTTCCAATGATTTAGAAGCGCCGAAGGCGCTAGATGTCTTGCTGCGTACGCGGGTCATGCTGCGTACTGCCGAGTGAGGCAAATTTTTTTACTTTCAGCCATTTTAAATAGTGGCAAAAAACGAGTTGCAATAGGGTTCAGTATGGACAATTACTTGTTTTAAGGACTGAATTTCTCGTGGCTTACAACTATTTCAGTGCCTTTTCTGATGCAGGTAGTTAGAGGAGATATAAATCAACAACACATAACAATTTTTGGGGGTTTTGAAACAGAATTTTAAAAAGTATTGCTCTTTTAGTTTACCCATTTACGGGGGGGGGGGGATATAGCAGTGGGCTATAGTGCCTATTTTCAAACAAAAGGGCAATCCAATGGACTGTGGAAATTTCAGAGGTATCAAGCTATTGGAGCAGATTATGAAAACAGCGGAAAGGGATTTAGACTAAGATAAACCGTTTAGATTACCAACATGCACATGCCCACATAGGGTTCATCCGAGGAAGAGGGACAACCGTTGCAATCTTTATAATCAGACAACTACAGGAAAAGTATTGGGAAGTGAAGAAAGGCCTGTATTTTTATTTTTATTGTCGCGAGAAAAAGGGTTACCTACAGAAAAATCTAGATTTTGCTACAAAACGAAACTATTGACAAAGTAATTGCCAAACAACAAGGTTTTTGCTGGTTATTACCATTTGTTGTGAATGTATTGCCTTTTCATGTAAAATGGAAGAAACTGACCGCTACTTTTGATTATTATGAATGTGACTTCCTGATCGATAAGGAATATGAAAGAGTTAAATTGTCGCGAGAAAAAGGGTTACCTACAGAAAAATCTAGATTTTGCTACAAAAAGAAACTATTGCCAAAGTAATTGCCAAGCATCAAGGTTTTTGCTGGTTATTATAATTTCTTTTGATTGTATTGCCTTTTCATGTAGAAAGGAGGAAAGTTGCCATTAATTTTGAACATGAACGAACACGAAGTCACATTTATGAACAAAAGTAACGGCAACTTCCCTCCTTTTTCTATGAATAGGCAATACATTCAAAAGAAACGATAATAACCAGCAAAAACCTTGTTGTTTGGCAATTACTTTGGCAATAGTTTCGTTTTGTAGCAAAATCTAGATTTTTCTGTAGGTTACAGTTTTTCTCGCGACAATTTAGCCTTTTCATATTCCTTATCGATCACGAATTCACATTTACGACCAAAAGTAACGGCAACTTCCTTCATTTTTCCACGAAAAAGGCAATACAATCAAAAGAAATGATAATAACCAGGGAAAACCTTGTTGCTTGGCATTTACTTTGGCAATAGTTTCGTTTTGTAGCAAAAGCTAGATTTTTCTGTAGGTTACAGTTTTTCTCGCGACAATTTCTTTAAAATCATTTCTTATCGATTACAAAGTTACTTGGCTAATCTAAATTTTTAGACTGATTTAATGGTTTGCATCTAAAACTGTGGGCTTTTATTTCTCAATCACTAATTTTTAACTTTATAATAGCATTGCATTGAGTGGCTTCCTCTTTTGGGAAAGTCAATTTAAAGCCAAGGGTAAAATTTTGACGATTTTGTTCAGTGGTTGTTGGAATGGTTTCTGAAGACATGTTGTGTAGTGCACGTGTTTAGCACAAGTCGCATTTTTATTTATCTTCGGTCAAGGGAGATGTCTTTTTCGGAACCTCTTCTCTGACAATTTTTGTTCAAGAATTGTACCACTCTAGTGCTTGACAATTTTCAAGTGATTTTCATTGCCTAACAAAACAGCTTTTGGATGTATCATTTCCTATCATTAATGGGGAAAACGTGTAAATTTTCCTGGATTCTTCAAACTCTGGTTGCAAAATGTCCTCAACTTTCTAAAGGTTGGTGTCTTTTCGCCCTTTTCTGCTTGTTGCATCTAAATTATGTATTTTATTTTATTCTTCTGTGGTATGTGAAAATATGTACTTGTATGCAAATGCATTTCCAGATTGAAATTTGCATCAGTTTTAATGGAAATTTTAATCGAGACATACTTAATGCCTATTTTTTAAAGTGTCATCTATGTTATGGCAATAGAACTAGTTACATTTGTTGCTAGAACAACCATGCAACTTTTGTGCTGTCTTTGTTTTGAATATGTCGATCTATCGACGAATCTTTAATCATTCAAAACAATGTGGTGTATTCGTCCTGAAATGTTGGGGGAGCAGTGTTGACATTTGCTGTAACCCCTGTGATTCATCGCGCGCATGGCAAGTACATTTTTCCCCTATGCTCCTTCCAATGATGTAGAAGCGCCGAAGGCGCTAGATGTCTTGCTGCGTACGCGGGTCATGCTGCGTACTGCCGAGTGAGGCAAATTTTTTTACTTTCCGCCATTTTAAATAGTGGCAAAAAACGAGTTGCAATAGGGTTCAGTATGGACAATTACTTGTTTTAAGGACTGAATTTCTCGTGGCTTACAACTATTTCAGTGCCTTTTCTGATGCAGGTAGTTAGAGGAGATATAAATCAACAACACATAACAATTTTTGGGGGTTTTGAAACAGAATTTTAAAAAGTATTGCTCTTTTAGTTTACCCATTTACGGGGGGGGGGGATATAGCAGTGGGCTATAGTGCCTATTTTCAAACAAAAGGGCAATCCAATGGACTGTGGAAATTTCAGAGGTATCAAGCTATTGGAGCAGATTATGAAAACAGCGGAAAGGGATTTAGACTAAGATAAACCGTTTAGATTACCAACATGCACATGCCCACATAGGGTTCATCCGAGGAAGAGGGACAACCGTTGCAATCTTTATAATCAGACAACTACAGGAAAAGTATTGGGAAGTGAAGAAAGGCCTGTATTTTTATTTTGTCGATCTAGAAAAGTCTTATGATCAGATTCCGAGAGAGCTGGTGTTTTGGTGTTTGAGGAAGAAGAATGTACTAGAGAAACTGGTCAGGTTTGTCAAGTCAACGTACTACAATAACAATAGTGAACAATTTTTTTGCGGTACAGAATTTGAAAATGGCTTTGAAAAAAGCAAGCATTTTACGACATACTAAAAGCTTTTTCGTCTGACACTCCTCAGAGCATAAAACGTCAGAATAAGGTTCCAAAAGAACACGATGGAAAATATATACCCAGTTGTGGATCGAAATAGGCCAATCAGAAAAACGCAAACACAAGACCGGTATAGTTGACCAATCAGTGCCGCGAGCCTAATGAAAAATTACCAATGGAGTCCAAGGGAAAAAACGAACTCCTTCTGTCTACACAATAGCGGTTTTTTCGTTTTTATGTAGATTGACTCCAAAACTGCTAGATGGAAGGACGACCAGGCTCTGCCAATTATCCGGAACATGTCGTCATTATAGAGTTTTGCACAATCTGGGTTTTCTAAAAGATGTTGACCGATGGCAGAATCACTTGTTTTAGCAGTGTTTTTATATGTTTACATTGCATAGCACCATTCGGCCTAGCCCTTTCCCATGTCTTCACGTCGACGAGAAAGATTTGTTGTGAAAAGAGTGTTTCTCTCTTGTTCACTAGTTGGGTTTGTGTCAGCTGTCATCAATTGCTGTTCTGATTGGTTTATTTTACAAGGCGAAAAAGTAGGAATGGTTTCTACATTTTCGCAGCGAATTATTCGCTGCAAATTTGCTGCGAATTCTCTGCCAATTTTCTAATCTCCCCTTCTGCGCATATTTTTCGCGCATTCGCGGCGAAAAATTCGCTTCGCACGAAAAAATTCGTCTCGTGTAAAGCAGGCTTAATAATATATTTTCAGTCCATCTACGTTATGGATACACACAATAACTTTTGCGAACGTACTTTGTTGAAATCCCCTACCTATTTTCAATTATTGTAGTCCTCTTTTACAAATGTTTTCGTTTTCGCCCTTTGATAGCATTCGTTTCATTGGAGAGCTCTCTTATTCCTTCAAACCTGTTTGCTTTCTTCCGCAATTTTTGGCTCATTCTCTCATCAAGCAAACCAGTGACATGATACAGAGCTTTGGTCTCCGATGGGGGTATTTGATCTTGAGAACATCTCCATGGTCCTCTTCATCTTGTGTGCTTAAATACATCACCACAGAGCTGATCACTGGTAATTGCATTATCCTGCTGCCCAAATCTGAAAATTAAGATGTGAAAAGTAAAGCTTATTTCAGTTTTACAGTGTTATTATAAAATTATGAACCACGCTTGTTGTCCCACGAGAGGTAAACCAGCCAGCCATAACTTCCCACTGAGAAACTAACCGGTGATGGGTACATACCTAATCTGTTGTCAGTTGTAAACTTATCGAGCTCTGGAATTATTGTATGACATACATATCCCATCTTTGATAAAAATGAGGTGAGTGAATGGCTACACAAGGTCAAGACAGCAGATGGATCCTGGCGATCTTTATTTTTTACATGATCGTTTTTGGGGATATGCTTTCTTATTTCCTACATAGTTCTTGGACTGGATCGGTTACGCAACATGCCCAACAATGCAATGTTCCCTTTTTCACTACCTAGCTTCAGCCACCAGCTAGCAAAGGAACCCTTCAAGCTTTTTCCAACATCTGGGCAATCTGGCAGAACCGTTAAAAGTGTTGCACTGGAATCAATTTCTTCTTTTCAATACTGCTTCTAATCTGTTCAAAAGCACATTTATTGCCTGTCTCACGGTCAGCTGTTATGACCAGGAGAGCTCTTCTGACACAAATTTGTTTTCGTTCGAGGCAGGAGTTGCATGCTCGCAGCGATGCATGTTGGCTTACGTGACCTTTATTCATAACAGGCCTGACAAAAACTGGTACAACGCTCGTAATGCGTCTTTATGATATGTTTGGCAGATGGTGCCTCTTTCTGACAGGATTCGCAAGTCTGTAGGATCTTCAGCTGTTCAAGAAACATATTTTCACACGATTCTGCTGTCTTTCCAGCTTTACCAGAATACTCAACAGCAATTGGTAGACT